GCTGCGGCTGCTGCTGCTGCTGCTGCTGCTCAGGTCCATATTTCATTCAGACCATCCTGCTGGGACCTGGGGTCCCACATCAGCTCAGACTAATGGGAACAACCCACATCCAGTGATGGGGGAATATGAATGGCTCCCTGAAATATGCAGGTAGTAACGGCCGTCAAAACAGAGTGGAAGTGGTCATGACGTCTTCACACCAGTTTCCTGTTCTCGCCCTGAAGGACTTAAGTTCCCGATCCCTGTGCCACTGAACACTACAGGGCCGTGGGTCATTAGATACTGGGCCACAGAAAATATATAAACAGCCTGTGTTCCTGTCACATACTTTCAGAAGCGACTTAAGAACCAAAAATATTCGCCATATGATCCATGGCCACAAGGGGGACGTCTACACTGTTGACACCTGAACGCTGCTGCTGCACCACTCTAAAATGACATGACTGAACTATAAGGACTTCCTCATAGATAACAAATAAATTATTACCAAAATTTCAGAATTTAACCTGAAGGTTCAAACTAGATAACAAATAAATTATTACAAAAAAAGATTTCAGAATTTAACCTGAAGGTTCAAAGGTCATAAAGGTCAAAAACAGCCATCAAACAGCACGAAAAAACTGAAAAGGACTAACTGGTCTGGACTAACCGGAGCTGATGGTGAGTCTGACACCACAGATGAAAGGATTCATTTGTATGGAATACGATCAGGAACTTGTTGAACTTGTTCAGTTAATAAACCGGGCTTATGTTCCTGGGACTATTGACTTTTAAACCGGTGCACGATTACATTTTCACAGATGATATTTATTCTCCAATTCAACGTTTAGACAGAGAGGTGGAGAGTTTGTTTGTTGTATTGATTTTTAAAGCAAATGTTTTATTTGGGAAAACGCCTGCGTTGTCTCCCAGCAACACACACTCTGACACACGTCAAATTTAAACCCGTTCCTTCCATTTATTTTCTTCCAGTTACAACATTAATCAAGGTCTGAACTTCAGCTGGAATGTTTCACATTATGTTTCTTTTTTAATGATCAGTGACATCAGCATCTACAGTGTCTCCTGTTGAAGTTTCTGAGTTGGTAAAAGTGACCTGACACCTGGTGATGTGTCAAGACCACAGACAGAATTAGTGTCGGCAGAACGACAGACAGTTGTTGGTTATTTATCTGTGATACGACAGTTTTCAGAGGATCAATCACGGTGAGAAGGATTCAAGAGTTAATTGTAAAAACTAGTGTGAGCGGATGCTAATGAAGATGAATGTTGACTGTTAGAAAAGAAGATGAAAGATGTCTGTTCCTCCTCCGTGTAACTGAGGAAACATCAGGAAACAAGTCAGGATTGATGACAGGCTTCAGGCAGAACAAACTGACAGAGTGACAACCTGAACAACAGATGTTTCAGAAATAAACAAACAACACAAACTGACAGAAGGGAAAGTCCAACTAGGATCCCAGAAGGAATACAAGGGTCAGGTTTTTCTTTTTTTTGACAGTTGAATGACAGTTGAATCAACAGTGCTGTTTAATTACAGATTGGATTAAAAACTGAAACTCCACATAAAACAACTGCAATCTGCAAAGGATTAAAAGAGACATGTTTGACAGAAAATTATTTGAAGATTGAAAAAAATTGAGTTTCATTTACATCAATGCACGTAAGAGCTAAATGGCAGCAAAAACTGTAGCCAAATAAATATAGAGTGACGTTTTTCATTCCAATCCAAATGAAATGATATTCAAACTAAAGGTTCCAAAAAATGTAATTTTTGTACTTATTCATATTGGACTTCCTGTTTCTCATCTTGTGAAACAGAGTTTTTTTATTATAGAAAATCATTTTGGAATTAATGGTATAACGAAGCAATGCAGACCTCAACTGTGTAGAAAAACAGCAAGAAAAGAGAAGAGAAACTCAGAGGCAAAGCTTCTGTAACGGAGACCAAGAACAGAGGTTTGTGTTTCTTAGTCTTCTGAAACCAAAACCTGTCAGGGGAATGAGAGTTTTAACACCTCAGAGACAAAGCAGTCAAATTAGTTTGTGTTATTTTACTGTTTGTTTGTTTTTTCTTTTTCATTTTAGTCTGGTGTTTAATTACTCTGGTATTTGCTGATATCCTAGTTTTGCTGCTTATCGTGTTTCAAAAGTGAAACTATTGGAACTGCCAACTGTGCCAAACTACACTGAGAAAATTGCTGATTTTAACTCACTGAAAAGAAAAGAAAAAAACAACAACAACAACAACAGCTGCTGCTGCTGCTGCTCTTCTGTTGCCTTTAGAGAGGTTTTTGCCATTTAGACAAATTCAAACCTGGGATTCTTTATTATTTGTTTCTATTGTTTTAAGCCAACAACATTAGGCCTTAAAATACTGAGAAGAAGAACTGGATTTTCATTTGGGAACATACTGTAAATTCGTATTATCCAAGAGGGCTATAGAAAAGGCAAATAAAATAAATAAAAGGTAAGGAACAAGTACAAAGATAAAAACTTTGAATTCTGCTGGTGAACTTTGCTGTAAGTGAAACTAAAAATATCTGATATTATCTGACATTTACATTGATGTAAAAAGATCCTGAAGTACATGTTGTACTCTTGCAGTGTTTTACTGTTTATTGAAACAGACAGTGACTGCGTCGGTCCATTCTCTGGCTGCTGGACGGAGCAGATGTTATCAGTTCTCCTCTCCTCGCTCACGTCTTATTGAACATATTGAATGTCCAGCTGCTCTTCCTGCTCTGACTCGCCATTCTTATCTGCCAGTCTTGCCCATTGCCGTGTGTCATTTTAACTGTTATACTGCACGTTTCACAGACTTTAACCAATTGCTGTGTTTTTTTTACTGACTCTGTCTACTTAGACATCAATTTCAAGAACAGAAAAAAGAGCTTGTAGCTTGTTGCTAATCCCCAGAGAGCTCCATAGGAGACCATGAGTGTGAAGTTGTTTATCTCTGGACTGTAAGTGGATCTGTGGTGGAACTGTCCGCGGTTCTTACCCCGCCCTTGGCTCAGTGCTGGGATTAGCTCCAGCTACTTCTGCATCCCTTCACACAATCAAGCCGAGGAAGATAAATGCAGGAATGAGAGGCTACCGTCATCAATACTAATTAAAATGAATTGATTAAGTGACTATACACAGAATAAACGAGGTCACTTCATTACAAACCACTGTCTCCAAAGCATTCCCACAAATTAGCCTGTGACTGTGGCACGTCTGCGGCAGGTTGGCGTGGAGCTCAGCTCCGTGTTTGGGACTTGACTGTTTTCCTGATTCGCTCCAGTGGCTCCTGTCACTGTCGCGTTGAGTAATCTGTGTTCATGAAAATAATAAAAAGGTGAGGAGAGTTTGTTCACAAACACCACTCTCTACTTCCTGGTTTCCACGTAATTGGTCCGTGTGTGTGAAGTGGAGCGTTTACGATCCAGACACTTCTCCCGGGGACCGGCCGTCGAAGCAGAGCTAAGAGAATATCGAACGTTGGTCTTAAATCTGTCCTGTGGTCGTGCAGACACTTAGAAAACAGGAGTTGTGTTTACTCTGGGTGTGAGGCTGTGAATGATTCCCGACACCAAGGAGTCAACTCTGATATTAAGCACATGCAGGCGGAAGGAAACAAATCCACGGTGACATTTACTGTTTCCTTTTCATTTTCGTTTTCCTGTCGACTTGAACCACAGTCTGTCGCTGTAATTAGCTCCCAGAGGGATTTATCACAGGTGCCGGGTTTAAAAGCGTTTCTACGGTCAGACACCATTAATGGAGGTTGGCCCTGTGCATGCAGATAGGAGCGTCAGAGCTGTAAATGATGCTGCACACTTCCAGACGTGTCATTATTAGTCCGTGATTCAATGTTCTGCAGTAGTGAACCAGGTCACTCTTTAGCCCAAACAGCTAAGTACTGTATATGTTGAGGAAAGAACTGCTAAAAAGGCAAATAAGAATTCATTTACTCAGTGGAACTAAACATTTGAACCACTAGATGGACAAAATGAAAGTGGGTGTTTAAAGTGTAGTTAGCTTTAATAGCATAACTACAGCAAACCACTGTGTCTGAACAGGTTCAAATTAGCCTGAATGACGGCTAACAAGAATTAGCCAAAGCTGCGCTGTAGCCCAACATTATCTAAACTTCTTACTTCAAAAGATTCGGCCGTTGAGAGTTTCTGAAAATTGTAACTAAAGAGAAGGGAAAGATTGTTACAGTAGCTAAATCTTTGTCGACAGTCGAGTTAAAAGTAATAAAAGAGAAGCTAAAGGAAAATATAATGTCCAGCTAGGCTAACGTAGCACAAACCATTCCAACTGCAGTAGAAGCAAAGTTGGCATTACATTAATTTTAGGTGAAATAAGAACAGTCCTGGAAATGATTACTAAACTCTTCAAACAATAAAACAAAAAGAAACACTTTATAAAATAAATAATCTTCGTTTCTGTCTTGGCTCAATTATTCAGATAATTCATGTAATGTTTTGCTTTTAGAGGCTGCACCTCATGTCCGCCACTCCCATAATGGTCCTGGCTGCCAGACACACACACACACTCACACACACTCACACACACAGAGTGTGTGATTGCTTTGGCTGTGGCTGGTTCATAAGTGAAATGAGCCGATGGCAAACAGCAGCCGTTTGTTTGACTGTTGATTCATCAGCCTCAGAAGTGAAATTAAAAAACTCCAACTGTGACTCAGCTCTTCTTCACAGAAGATGAAAAATAATAATGGGGAAAAAAAGAAAGAAACGGGGACAAAGAGAAAAGACTAATAATAGAGAAATAACAACTGTCAATGAAGACGGATCAGGGCCAGCAGGAAGAGAAGGGAGGAAGGAAGGAAGGAAGGAAGAAAGGGAGGAAGGAAGGAAGGGAGGGAGGAAGGAAGGGAGGGAGGAAGGAAGGGAGGGAGGAAGGAAGGGAGGGAGGAAGGAAGGGAGGGAGGAAGGAAGGAAGGAAGGAAGGAAGAAAGGGAGGAAGGAAGGAAGGAAGGAAGAAAGGGAGGAAGGAAGGAAGGGAGGAAGGAAGGGAGGAAGGAAGGGAGGGAGGAAGGAAGGGAGGGAGGAAGGAAGGGAGGGAGGAAGGAAGGAAGGAAGGAAGGAAGAAAGAAAAACAGGAAGGAAGGTAGAAAGAATGTTGGTGATGGAGGAAGGAAGTAAAAGTAATAGAAAATAGGAGAAGACAAAAGTATAAAATATGAAAAGATGCAAATGGTGGGAGAAGGGAGGAGAGAAGAACAAAGGAGGGTGAGTGAGTGGGTGAGGGACCCTGGAAGGAGCATTGAAAGGAGGTGAGCAAAGATGACGTAACTAGGACGAAAGAGAACGAACAGCAAATATTTGAAGATTATTTTTCAAGTCCAACTTGCATAATGACTTTTTCAAAAGGAAATGTTACTTCACACTTAAACTGACTACAATAAATTGTTGTTTTCTTCAACAAACCAACATTTACCACGTGACCCCATGACTCCACTAAACCTGTCTTAAAAGACCAACAGAACGAGCCTGTACAGAGTGACAAAGTTTCTTTTTGACACCATTAAAAGTAACTCAAGTCATCTTCCAACATCACTTTTTAAGATTTGAGTCTCTTTCAGAGTTTAACGTGTGTTATATCATTAAAGAACTGGTCAAATAAATCCCAGGTTGCAGATAAATTTTGGACGACTGAGAAGTGAGCTGTCGTGGCCCGCAGCCATAAAACATTTCACTTACAAACTGAGTTAATAAAATGACTTTTATGGTGTGTCTTTAAAAAAAAAAAGTTACAGTGAGCTTGTCATATTTCCTCGGGGCAAGTCGTTCTGAAATTTAACAGCCTTCTCTGCAAAAAAAAAAAAAGACAAGAAGAGAGGAAGAAAGAAAAGAAACGCTTGATCATCAGGACTTTGATGTCGACTTTGAAACAAACACAAAAGATGTGTTTGAAGAGACAAAAACTACAGACGCCGCGCCACCGATAAGAACAAAACCTGCATCTGTTCTCTTCCTCACATCTGCCACCTGGACTTAAAGGAGTCATCGGAGCAAAAGAAACGTATTATTTTCCCGGAACAATAATGAGAATAAGAAAACACAAAGAACCAACTTCCTGACACAGTGTTTCCTTTCACCAGACGGGGAGAACGTTTGATCAATTATTACGGCATTTTGAAGATGTAGCATGTAGCACCTAGCCTGTGGGTTGTGCAACAGGAACATTTGATATCCACGTTACTTAATTCACATGTGCATTTTCATATATACAGTAAATCTTGTAAACTGACTCACATTGGACCCAGTAAGATATAAAGGACTGTGAGTCAACGCATTTCTTACCTCTGATTGGCCCAGTAGTTATAATTGCGTCATGGGTAACAATGTAACTCTGCAAAGAAGGAACATTTACACATGAACACACACTCAGCCGCCATCATTTCTAACAAGCCTGGTGGATGAAACTGTCACAAAGCCAAAGGTAACTCAGTTGGAGCTGATAGAACAACTATCATTGCTGTGTAAACTTCATTAGCAACAGCTAATGTATGGAGATTTAAATGGCACAGCGTCACTGACTTTATATTAAATTTTGATGTAAGAAATACTGATGTCGCACTAAACTGTCTGATGATTGTTGCTGCTGCTGCTGCTGCTGCTGTTGCTGCTGCTGCTGCTCCAAACTCGTTCAGCCCCACGATAAAACCAGAATTCTCCTGAACATGATCCCGCTGCTTTATTACATTTACATCATTATAGAGTATTTTGTGTTGCAGACTGTCTCCTGGAAATGTAATTTCCACCAGACGAGGCCCGTGAAGGAGATCAAAATCAGCTCTGGCACAATTAAGACCAGCAGCCCTTTCTCCTAATCTCCAACCCACAACGGCGTGGTCTCTGTAATGGAGCAGCTGCACGGCGTCCACCGACAGCATCACCGTCCGACCACGTCAAAGGTTGGGTCTCTCTCTTTTAGGGTCCGTATGAGCTCATGAAATCACAGGTATCGCATCTAAAAACCCACTCCTGTCACAAACAAGTATCGTATCTAAAAACCCACTCCTGTCACAAACATGATGTCGGTAAGATTGATGGTTTCCATAAGACAATTACGGTCGACTCAACCGCTGCACGTGTGGTTAATGATGTTATCCAGTCATCCATTATGCAAACGCCTTTCATGTTTTAATAACCTGAGCAGACAGGGATTGATTTCATCAGATAAAGTGTTGGAACGTTAAATATGGGGGGCGCTGTGGCTTACTGCGCAGCAGGGCCGGACAGCGGCGTCCGAGCATCCATCACTCTCAGTATCGCCCCAACGTCACACGCACACGCACTCTTCCTAATGGTGAGGAGTCAGAGTGTGAATGGATGTGTGCAGATGAAGAGATAAGAGCGGCTGTCACGGCATCAGGACTGGATGATTCTTATTCATGCACCGTTTGTGTAAAAACAAACATTGATGAATGCGTGGTCGGAGACGTCGTAAATCAACACCGCGGGCGGCGCAGTAATCAAACGTCTCAGGTAATCGGTGCAGAGTTCTATCACTTTGTGTTCGGCAAAGTCTCAGGTGATGACTGTGATTTTCTCTTCACTTTTGGCTGCAGCCGTGAGGGTGATGATGGGAAGAAAAGGGGGGGTGGGGGTGGGGGGGGGGGGGTTGATTCTCATCTCAGCAGAGAGGACGTCGGTCGCTGTGCTGACTCTAGGCTGGGAATCTGTTTGTTTGTTTTTATTTTAAAAACACACCACCTCAGCCGAGTGGGAATGATGGGAAATCAACAGGAATTGTGAACAGGATGGAGACTGTTTAAAAGAACTGATTAAATAAACCTTAAAACTACGGAGAAAAAAAACATTTTGTTTCTGAGCTCAACCATGTTAAGACCACTGTAAACTAAACTAAAAGTATCACTGACGCAGACGTGACACTTTGAAGGATCTAAATCAGACAGAATGACATCGAACACGACCAAAACACTGAAACCAAAGACCAAAGAGAGGAGTTTTGGATTAGAAATAAACTCAAAGAATGGGATTTTCTGATTGGAATCAAACACCAGAGACTCAGGAATTCACTGGAACTAAAATGTTGGAGACTTGAAGAAGTCCAGATTCCTTCAGTCTGGACACTCAGCTCCAGTGAAAGGATCTCTGAGATGATCTCAGCCATTGGATTATTCTAAAGCCTGCTCCTTGAACGGCATTGTGGGAAATCACTTAGTGTAAACAAAATCCATTACCTCAAACATGTAGAACATGTGTGGAATTAACAAAATGGCAGAGCGCATTAATTGTCTTTACACCAATGTCACATGGAGGTCATTGTTATTAAAATCCCATCAGCCATCTGGTGTTCCAACAGACACTGGTTTGACGCAAAAGAATTGGCCATTTTAGGCTAATCCATCTAATCTTAAGGTTTACTTTTGAAATCTGTCTTGCTGTAATAGTCAATAGAGTGAATTCACTTTTCAGATGTTCATCTCAACTGTCCCCCCCCTCCCTCCTCCCTCCCTGTTACTGTGCTGACTTTGAGGAGACTTTGATTCTACACGTGCCCGGTCCTTCCTGCTCCCGGTGTAAGGACTGACGTCCAGGACCCACAGGATCGTCCGAGGACAAGAGCGTTAATATTTATGTCCATCACTAAAAACTGAGTGATTGACTCTGTCGCAGTCCACGTGCACGTCTGTCCACACTTGCACACAAGACCCACGGTATTTAATCTAAGGTATTAAATATAGGGGTTTTTTTTTATATAATAATAATTAACATACGAGGAGCAGAGTTACGGCGTCACCCACAGGGAAAATAAAACTTTGAGCCTTAAAGACAAACCAGCTTCAAGAGGAAAGACATGCTTCAATGATCTGGTGTCCTCGTGAGTCAAATGTCCAAACACTGGCACTGAGCTGGAGAGAAAATAACAGAGTCCAGCAAATTAGCAACAGGCCAAATCACCACCAAATTAGGATGACTAATTGGACAAAATTAACAAATTAGATTAATTTTCCTCCAGTAGTGAATAATGTTAGCCAAAATTTCAGATGCCAAAAAACTGCTAACATTATTGGAAATAAAGAACATTTTCTCTCTCTCTCTCTCTCTCTCTCTCTCTCTCTACCCTTCATTTGGGTCTAAACAAAAAAGCTGTGTTTCTACCAATCTAATTTGGGGGATGTAGATTAAACCAGGTCGTGAAGTTTTTTGCTTCTACAGACTAAAATATCTGTTCCTTCCAGATGTTCTTTGGTTTTATGAAGAATCAAATGGATCTAAATCTAAACCTCAGGTGAAGCTTCCATTTCAACAGTTATGGTCCAAAATACAACATTTTCTTTAATTATTAACCATTGGTTTGACATAATGTTAATGTGAATTTCCGAGGATTGTTAAAACCTGATCAAACACATCGTTAGCTAGCTTAAGTTACAATGACTAACGCGTCAAAGCTGGTGCAGAGACCTGAGAAAATGTCTTAAAATCAGCATCTGTCTTAGCACTTATTAGTATAATCCACCCCCAAAAATAAATAAAAAATATATATTTATGTTTCCTACGTTGTTTCTTGCCATCATGACTTGTTTTCGTCTCACAGGTTCCTCATTCATGAGGCTGACAGAACAGGAAGTGAATAAACAGCTGCCTGTGGTCCTCCTTCTTCTTCTTCTCTCCCCCGATCGACCTCCCACTCTGCTGTAATGACTGGCTTCATCACCGCGGCCTGGAATTAGAAGTGACTCAGTTTCCATGTTGCTGTTGTTGTTTCCTGTGGCCTGAGAACGCTGCTGACTGGATGATGAACTGCTCGACACGGCCTTCATCTAATTTGTAACAAAGACAATCAGATTGGGGGACCGCCACCGAGCCCAGTTATGTCACATTTCATGTACCCGCAGGAGGAGCAGGAGGAGCAGGAGGAGGAGAGGAGTCTGTTATTTTTTTTACTTTTGTTCTGTTTGTTGTGTGGTTTTGTCGTCGAGTGGAATAAGATTTTTTTTACTTTATATTAAATGTGTTACAGCAGGCCTAAATTAATTTAAATCATGAAATACTAAACGTATTATTCAGACAGGAAAGAAGACACTAAGATTATTGGTCGTGAAAAAAAAAAACTTCCATTTTAACCATTTAGGCCTAAAATAAGATTAAACAGAACATCAAAATTGAAATGGTAAACTACTAAGAAAAAACACAAAACTTAGATAGCTAAAGGTTAGCCAAGAAATAGGCACTTAACATCAATACTGATGGTTGGTAAAAGTTATAAAAAAAAAAGTTAATTTTTTAAAAATGCATTTACTTGAGTGTAACATCTATAGTTTTCCTCTAAACACGATTATATTTAATCAGTTTATTGAATTATTAAGGTTATGTTCATTAACGTCATTAATGAAAAAACAAACAAATAAAACATGGAGACCACCCTGGCCTGTTCCAGTCTGTAGACACAGCATTAGCATACGGCCTGTCCCAGTCTGTAGACACAGCATTAGCATACACTCCTCTGACTGCAGCACGGTGTTAGTGTTGGGAGGGAAACAGTGACCACCTCCACTGTCCTCCGCTCCTCCTCTGCTCGTTATCAACCTCTACTCCTTCTCTACTCCTGCAGGATTCTGCTGCTGCTGCTCGGTGTTTGTTTGGACACCTGTCAATCACCTGTCTGTCAGCGCTCCGCTCCGTCACAATCACGTACAGTCTGAAGAAAGTGACTGAAGCTGGAGTTGGAGCCTCTCCATAAAACCGTGCTCACGGTCGAAACTTCATTTCTGATTTTCACCATAAATCCCACCGAATCCTCCGCCGCCTCATTTTGTCACTGTTCTGAGTCCAAACCACCTGCAGTCCTACAAACTGTGCTCCATTAAAATGTCCTTACTGCCGACTTTCAATTTCCCTAAATTTTCTTCTTTCATCGCTTCACGTATTATGATACAGCCTGCAGCTGTGCTGGTTAATTAAATTCTGGATTTAATTTTGATTTTTTTTTTTTTTAAACTCGTAATTTAAAGCTGAAATTAGGAAGAAAGAAAAAACGTAAAACAAAATATTATGAAAATGTGGACTGAGATCTAAGGCTTCACAAAAACTCTATGTATTTGGAGAAAAAAATATATATACATACATTTATTTATATGTACATATTTTATAATATGTTACAAGTACATTAAAAAGCTATAACAACCTAACAAAAAAGAACTAAATATGCAGGAAGAAAAGGAGCTACGATTTATCTAAAAGAAAATCTAAAAGTTAGCCCAGGTTACAGATAGCACACATTAGAAAAACATTATGAAACTGGTTAACAAAGCTAAAGGGAAACCTTTTTGGTGCTGCCAACTATTTATCTCACCACTGGGTCAGAAAGCATAGAAGCAGAAAGGTCAAATTAAAGTTCCAAATCTCAGTCAGGAACTGAAGGATGTCGTTGATTCGTGCAGGAAATTGACATCATCAGAGAAGTATTTCATTAAGAGGCCAAATCCTGTTTCCTCCCGTGTGTTTTCAGCTGCCGTTCTACAGTGATTACACTACTGTTAGCTGTAAGTACGAAGCTTCATTAATGAGATTTGGGGATAATGCCAATTGATTAATATGGGCCTGAGGGCTTTGACTTTGACTGAGTGTCATGGCGGCTGAAAGCTGCAGTGAACCTCAGATACCAGCCATCAGAACATGATGGTAGGATGGAGGGGGAAAAATATCTGCCAACATTTTAATTTATTTTTTTTTCCCCAAAGGAGAAATGATATGAGATTTGAGGAGGAGATAGGTGATATTAGTCGCTACGGGCGTGATTAAAGCTGCGGTGTGTGGAGAGAGAGTCAGCCTTTCAGTTCATAACAATCCTTTTTTTCCCTCCCGTGGTGTCACTCATGCAGAATCATTACACGTCAGCCACAGGGAGAACGGATATCAACTTATCTTCAAACTTATCTTTCACTCTGCGAGGTTGAAGAGTCGATCCCTCTTCATCAGTGTTCACTAATACCAATCACGGCGGCGACTAGATGCCGCTGCCGCCGTTGTCAAACGCTTTCGTATTCACACCGTCTCCCGACCTACTCACTTTCTCAGCCTGCGATTCGCTTCCAGGTCAGACGAGGAAAAGTGTTGTCGAGAAATATTAGGCTGAGGAATCAAGTGGTGCTCAAACTCCATTAGGTCGGAGTGTGGAGGGAAGTTTTTTATGTTGGCAGCTCCAGCAGGATGAAGTGGGCGGAGGGGGAGGAGGGGGGGGGTGTATTTGTAGTGAAACTGTATGAGAGATTGATACATTATCAACAGTGACGCTGCAGATGAAGCTGACCGTGCAGGACCTGAGAGCTGGGCACTGACCGACCACCGACTGTCAACAGACACAGAGGTAAAACAGAGGAGACCATATGAAGTGGACACTGGTTTCAGTCTGCAGCAGGATGTTTGATGCTCTGTTTGACAGGTTTCTCAACTCGAAAAAAAAAGATCCCGAAGTCCACCACAGAAAATATAATTTTTTGTTGGCAGCTAAACAATAGTTGAAAGGAAACAAGTAGGAAAAAACGTCACCAAGAAGCCAGAAAGAGGAAAGAACTTTTTTAAATAAATTACAGAACCACTTTTGTCCTGCAGCAACTAATACGTTTCATTCAGTGAAGACAGTTTAAATGAAGTCTGCTGGTTGATTCCAGAAACACACACACACACACACACACACACTCCTTCACAGCAGGGGGCCTTCATTTGAACAGGAAATTTAAGATCTTCCTGTTGTTGCTCAACAAAGTGTTTTCTCTTATTTTTGCTTCAGTCTGTGGCTCAGAGAGAGAAAAGTGAGGCAGGACGAGGAAAACAATCACAGAGACAAAATTTGAGATAACGAGTTTGAGCTGAAAATAAATAAATAAATAGAAAAAAAAAACCCAGAGGCAAGACGTGTCACTGTGACTGCATTAATGCTGAACAGATAAATGGCTTCAGAGAGTTGAAATGGCAACTTTATTTTTAAATCTCTGACACATTTAATAAAACTAAACGCTGAAAAACTAGCATTACATGCCTCAAGCACCAGTTGACTTTCCCCAGGAAACGGCTCTGAATCAGCATTTTCAAAATGTTTGGACACATTAATGGTGTCTTTTCAACAGCCATTCATTCACTCACTCATTCATTCATTCATTTTCTACCACTGAAGCCTTCTTTTTGGGGGTTGTCTGCATCCCAGCCAACAGCCAATCAGACATCTTCAGACCGCACCAAAAAAAAGGAATTCTGTCCCTTTAAGACGATCTCCTCGTCCTCTCTCCCTGAACTCCCTCCACAGCAGGAGGCCATATCTTCCATGGTTCACTGAGAGGCTGAGATCCTGGTTATTATTCCTGCCCTCATTCACCAAATCCCAGGAGCTGACTACAGGATCCTGGAGTGTCTCACACCGACACGTCCACACGTCTGTGCCCATGTTGTTATCCCACGCACATGCCTCTCACAGGGGAGTCGTAACGGTGACAACCTCCCCCCCCCCCACCTCCTCTGCTATGGTCCATCTGATCTGTAATGAAGACCATTTCATCCCGTGTCCACAGGTCTCAGTGGACAATGTCCTCCTCTGTAATTCACGTCCTTTCTGCTGCTCCTCATCTACCTGAGGTTAAAGGTTTTATATATATTTTTAGTCACATTATTTACATACCCTTTTTGAAAAGGCCAACTGGGGAGGAGCTAAATATGGTTGAGTGTCATCTAAAAATGGAACAGTACTAACACTTAAAAAAAGGCTGTAAAACGTTAGCCAAAAACATAGTTATGGTTAGCAAAGAAGTTAGCTATAAGCCCCAAAAAGACAAAGATGAATTTGCAACGTAGCCGAAAATACAAAGATGAACCTAAGTTACCCAACAAGCGGGAAAAAAAATCAGCTAAAAGTACATCCGAGTGTTTGACACCGCATCAATCAGTTTGAGCCAAAATTTATTTTTATTTCAACTTTGAATTTTCCTAAACGTCATTGACATCCTCACAGCTAACAGTTCAAAAGTCATATTAGCATGATGAACGAGGGCCTGCCTGTCAGGACCTCATCGTTAATGTAGCGATGACATTGACGTGGTGGCCTCACGTCAGTTCAAAGTCTCATTTTCCCTCTGTATTTCAGGCCCGACTTCATCCAGGTGTAGACAGAGGTTCAACTTTTTCATTTTCCTCCTCAATGTCAGAACACGAGCTGGGATGTGATCGACCTTGAAACACGTTCGCAGCTCAGGTGTTAGAGGAAAAAGTAGAAATAAAATAAGCTACTGTCTCGGCGTGTGTGCAGTACAGATCAAACAAGTCCAACAATGTGCTGAAAGCACTGACAAAAAGTCGACAAGAAACCTGACAAGGAACGCTGCTGCAGCCCAGGAATCCAAAAACGGGAGTGCGATTGATTTTCCAAGCTAACGCAAATAACAGGGAGATTTGTGGATCCCGACTCTTTGATCTGATTACGATGATGAAAATAATAAATGATCACATTAGTAACTTTGTCTAAAGGTCTGGTGCAGGGTCCAATATTGGCCTTAAGAAAGGTCAGTAAAATGTAGTTCCTTTTTTTCTTTCAACTATCAACATCTATTCTACCATTCGAATATTTTTTGCTATTTTCACTAGTCTTTAGGCCTAGTTTGGAAGGTCAAACTATGGCTGTGCTTTACGCTAATTTGCTTAGCTTAAACTTCTGTTTGCCATTAATATTTGTTCTTT